TGAACTCTGGTTTGCGCTTGCAAGGCAGGCCACCAAACCACTGAGCTAAATCCCCGGCCCAAGGGTTGTTTTTTAATGTAGACTAGATGTAGAAAAGAATAATCATACCAAAATGTGTTGTTTTGAAATAGATTGATACACAGTAAGGACGTCCTGCACAACTTCTGAATTCAAAAAAGCCATAGCCTCTCAAAATGCCAAAGGCATTATTCATAAAATTGTATTTTTAGGATTTTGCTAACAAATTTTATTTTCCTTCTATTTCTCATAGCATGTAGAATAGTCAGGATTTTTATGAAATCTATACTAATGGTCTTTTTAGGAGGAAGAAGAAATGAATACATTATAGCTGTGACCAGCTTAATTGTAGATACTCTGTTATTCAGATTGACCTGTCTGCTTCTGAGTTCAGTAGGCAAAACAGTATTACCTGACTTTAAATTAAACATTGGGTGAAGAAAAATAATTGCTCTGAAAGTGATAAAGTTCTTTGTTAAAATTTTAAAAAATGTATATTCCTTAAATATAGTCTCCTGAGTTGCTGAATCCAGAAAAAAGTAGAATCCAGTTTGAATTGTGAGATAACGTAAGTTAATGAAAAAAGTGAATACGGTTCATCTTAGAGCACCCTATAATACATGAATTTTTCCCTCAGTTCATCTCCACTAATCTTGATTTTATAGCCATATAGAATATCTTTATTATGTGTCAATCTGGAATTAAAGTCAGTTTGGGAGCTACTGAATATGCAGAAGACAGATGATTTGTAATTTCCTAAAAGATAAAAAGATGTGTCCTGTGATTTTTTTTTTCCCAGAGAGTCCTCAGCAAAATTGAAAACCTGCGATAATTTTGACAGATGTCTTCTTGTAACTAAAACTGCAGCTATTATTGCTACTATCTGATTAATCTTTAAATTAAAAGCTATTGTTACATTTTACATATGTTGAAGCATTTGGCATGTAAAAATTGAGTATCAGTATCTAATTATTTAGATCATCTATGTAGTGTTAAAAACAACTATTCTGCGGTCTTACCCACGTAGACAAATCTAGAGAAGCCATAGAATTATTTTATTTAGATATTCTTTACAAGGAATTTTATTTTTTGCAAGCATGGTATAAGGCAAAAAAAATTGGCACTACACGAAAGAACTAAAATACCATTCACATATATTTTATCTGGAAAATGGAGTGCGAAATAAAATTCTGAAACAACTCATATTTAGCTAATTCTTGAATATCTGGCAGAATTATGTGGTATACTACTTAATTTTTTATTATTTTTCACTTGGTTTTGGTAATTTTAGGAAATTCATACAAGTTTCAAGCTGGCAGTAGGATGAATGCAATGCTGTGGTTTAAGCATTTGAGTGCAGCCTGCCAAAGCAACAAACAACAGGTGAGGTTTCTCTTAATTCTTGGAATAGTCCATAACTTAGCAGACTATTGAAGAGCTCCAACAAGAAGTAGTAGTTTTCTTCATGACCTAAGGAAATGGAGTTGTTTTTATTCTTTTTATGGTTTACGGCAATCGATAAGACAAGTCCCCATTTTAGTGAAGATCTAGACAGTAAACAAATGACACAGTTTTAGCTCTCCCTCAGGTGCTGAGGCTGACCTGAGTGACAGGAAGGACCCGACCACTTGAACATCAGAGAGCTGAGTGCTGAGAAAGGGAGCAAAGTGCCACATTAAACAGAAAGGCATGGTCTTTGCCCCTCCCTCCTCGCCAGATAGCAGTTCACCTGAAAGAGCTTATTACTCATCTCACTGATTTTTTTCTCTAAAATGTTTTGAAATGTAATTCATTAGTCATAATTAAAGTACCCACCACATTTCTTTTAAAATGTATTTAAGAAAGATGTGGACTTGCCCACATGACAGGGAAAGAAACATTACTTTAAAAAACACCTTGTAAACACTTAGCAACGCTTGACATTTTTAGGTTCCTACAAACTTGATGACTTTTGAGTAGAAACCTGGGGAAGAAAAGGTGAGCCCTGCTCCTGACTGAAGGGGAACCTGAAGAAAGCGCCAGCTGCAGACCATCTGTGCCAGGAAGAGCCTGAGGCACCATCTCAGCCTTGGAGTTCTGAACCAAAAAGCACTAATTTCAGGGAGTGAAGTGAGATATTCCCAGAGAACAAATTGGAGTTACAAAATAAACTGCCACGAACTATGCTTCTTATCTCTGAACTGACCTGTGGAAACCACTGCCTTAAAAGAATGAAAGGAAAACCAACATGAAACACCAAATAGTGTGTGTGAATCTTCTGGCGGTGCTGTGCTTGAAATAGATCGTAGCTAATTTGCATTTCTTTTACCTTTGTACTAATTTCAGAGGGGGGAATTATCTTTTTTAGGTACAGTTTAAAAAAGGAAAAACAATTCTTATGGATTACATCAGGAGCTGGCTTTGAACTGCAGTGAACAGATACTTAAACTTAGAAATGATACCACCAGCTTCCCCCAGCCCCCACCCCTGGCAAGGTTTGTTCTGCCTCCAGTAATGCATTCTCACTTGTTTTCTAACAGCAAGAATGTAGGAATTAGAAATGTTAATTATGTAAGTTGTGGGGGTTTGTTTTGGATGGGAGGTGTTTGTTTTGGACAAAGGGGACATCTTTTTAAACTTCTGAATTTAGTGCTGTGTGGGGAACATTATTTCCTGCAGGAGGCACAAAAGCCAAGTGTTCATAATGCCAGGCAGTTTCTTAAAGTAGGCTCCAGAAGACATGGTTGGTTGTAACTGGGCTTAAAGTTTAGCTTTACATGAATTCATTGTTGGACTACAGATCTGCCTAATAGAGAACTGTAATCCCAAGCTGAACTTTCCTGAGAAGATTTTACAGTAACTAGCCTTTTCCGTGAGTTGATTGAATTATCCCTTCTCCCCCATCACAAATGGTTTTTATCAGCAAGGGTGATAAAATTGATATTTTGCCAGGGTATTTTGTTTTATAGTGTTTAATGTGCATATTGCCAGTGTTTTTGTTGTCATTGTTACAGTTATTCACTTTTTTTGTTCAATATGAGATTCGAGATTGTATTTGTTTAAAAGATTGTTTGTTTGTGTTTTATTATAAGACAATGATTTTAAGAGGGATAAAGGTGACAGTTGGAAGTTCTGGGAATTTTAAGTATCAGACTTTTCCTCCTTACGTTACTCACCATGAACATACCAAAACATTTTTTTCTGAAAACCTACTAATAGTTCCCTTATATGGAACCATATTTTGGCAGTAGTTGACTAAGCAGTTTTGACAGAATTCTTCTATGCAATAATGCATTTAATTTCTAAAATAAATATCAAATGGAAAATTGAAAAAAGGTGAGGTACCTTAGAATTTTATAACAAAAAATTAGAATTTGAACAAGGATTCTATGTTAGCTGTTACATCCTTGTGAGGCACAAATTTTAGTAGTGACCTAAGGAGAGAAGTACTTCTTGATTGATGCCTGCTCATAGACATCTGTCTATTACTTTGGGCCACACATAAAATTTCTCACATAAATACTCTTAGGGAAATGTATACTGTATCATGTTTTGCCCTCAAGTCCACTAAAAGAAAGTACTACATGTATAATAATCAGCTAAAAATCTATCCAAAGAAATGTAATGGATTTTTCTGAGTGTTATGTTTATAAACTTAGTTTTTCTGATTGGGAAGATGTTAAAAGTTCAAATACATTTGTCATATGATACAAATTTGTTGTTTCTGGGTTTTAGTGACAGGTTGAAGAGGGAAAAATGTTGCCTGTGCTGAACGATTTTTTCAGTTAATGATCTAAGCTTAACCCACGTTGGGTACATAGACATCGTCTGCATAGCCAGCAGTGTTACTATAGAGACCTTGCACATCTTACTTTTGTTTTGTATTTTTTTTTTAATTTCTTTACTTTATTTCTCTTTAGAAATAACTTTAAGTGTATTGTTTTTTTTTTAATTATAAGAACCCTGTGGATTTTATTATTATTTTGTTTGTCATGAATAAGCTAAAGTAGGTATGTTTTAGGTTACCATATCTGTGGAAATATGGAACTGGAAGTCAGAGGCTGACCTGATAGTGTTGCCAAAGAGAGTGCTAAGATTGAAGGTGTGTTTGATATTTTCAGCTCTAAACACTGAGTGCGTGTATAGAGTAAGAATAGTGTTCAGAATGAGTTAACAGTTCACAGATAGAATAGGCACAGTGTCTTCAACTGACTGACACTCAACCCCACAGTGCAGTAGAAATCATTATTATTTTTCTGTCTTCCTTGATCCATTCAAAAGATCACACTTTGCTTTTTAGGGTTATTTTCTCATTTGAAGCAAATTTTGAATTCATATAGGTGAGTTTTGATGTATAATTCACAAATTATTATAATACAAACAAAATGTCACCAAACTATTAAATATTTAAATAGTTAATTAGCAGGAAGATGAATCTTTTTATTAACCTCAATTGTAAATTAGTGACTCAAAAGCTAAAAATTTCCATCAGTGTAAAGCTCATTTGTTTCTACCCTAGTTAAAAACTCATTAGAAATTCAATTAAAATTTAAATTAAGCTGGTTTATAACCACAATGATTGGCATATTTTATGTCCTGGTATACAGTAGTATAGAATACTAGCCAAAATCCAGTGTGCGGCAATTCTGTTTAACAACTTATTTAAAACTAAAATTAACTACATAATGACCTTCCTGAGCACTGGTTTGGTCACATATCTTTCCCTTGAGTGTTCAGGCTCTGCTCATTTTTCAGGGTATTATTTTTACTGTAACTTCTAAACTGTAAAAATTGAAATAGAACTAATCAAACTCACTTTCCTATTTTGTTGTCCTCACTGTATAAATATTATTTATATAAACATTGCAAAAAGGGATTCAAACAATGAGTTTGAGTGTTGTTTTTGTTTTTGCTTTTTCCCCAGGCATGTGCACCAATGATATTTTTCCTGTGTGGAAAATGCCATATATTTGTTGACTGCAGTCTGTGTGGACTGCATTGGTATTGGGTCTTTCGGTATGTCAAGAGTCAGGGTATTTATTGTTACAAAGCTTTTATAAGTGGTTCTTTTCCTCTTGTGGAAGATTTATATAAAGGAGCCCAAGAAGCATCATCATTATAGAAGAAAAAAATGGAAAAAATGTTTACAGTATAGCATATCTGTTAGTTGAAATAGGGCCCTCAAAGAGTAGCCTCTCTTTGGGGATTATTAGAATTTACCTGGCTAAATGCCTTTAGCATAAATCTTTTTTTCTAAGGTTAAATCTGTAAAGTCTATACATTTTATTACTGAAAATGAAACTATAGAACATCATTAATTAGATACCAATACTAAAAGATTTAGTCCATTAGCTTTTTAAAAGAATTTATTCACCTTTTTTTTTTTTTTAGGCACATTTCTTTACAACTAGTTTTTAAGCCACCATATTAACCTCTGTAAATGAGGGGTGCCAGGGTTCTTAACAGAAGATCATCTAAAGAAATCCTCTCCCTCAAAGGCTTTTGACATAATCGGATCCCTTTTTGAAAATGGAGATAAATTTAATTAACTGTGTCACAGAGGAGTAGGAATGCTACTGTTGCATGAATCGAACATACAAAGCAAGTGATAAGGTCTGTCTGACTTCTTTTAGTGACATTTTAGGGTTTACTTTTTTCTCTTCTCTTGTTTTGTATTCTTTCAAACTTAGTAAATTCATTCTTTTCCAGCCAGACTGGTATTTTGTTTTCTCTAAGCCTTTAATACACAAAAATTGCTATTAAATCACTTTGATGATAAATACTTTCTATGTGAACCTTTTCAAAATGATTTAAATACCTTTGGTTTTGCTTCCTGAAAATGGCTTGTGCGTAAAATGACTATTTAAAGGGTTCTGATGAAAGAGATCTGTGCATACAAACTTGTATTAAACATATTGAAAGCAATTTCATTACATCTATGTCTCGAGTTATAATGAGAGGAAAGTTTGGTCAGTGCCTTACCAATGAAGACCAATTTTAGGGCATTGAGTGTGATAATAATCATTTGCCCTCTTATTTCAGGAGTGTGCTATCCCTCTCTCCACCAGCTTAATCTTACAGCAAGACTAAGGGAGTCTGTACAGATACTGGCAGGTACTTGTTGCAGTCCTCCTTGGTTTTTGAGTCTTTATTGTACAAGTACTATCCCTGCTTCTCTCCTTTCCAGATGGGAAGGTAAAAGTAAATCCTTAAATACAACTTCGAAGAACATCCATCCAGCTTAGTTCATTCTTTACTTTATTGTCTTGAGCATAGGTTTAACGATAAGTCCTTTTTGGAAAACCCCTAGAAAACAAGTTTCATCCAGAAATATTTGTTTGAGTTTCATTGAAATTTGGTTCATGAAATTTTTCCCTTTGGGCAGAAATCAGGTGTATTTCTGTTCCTTCTTACACTTAAAGAAGACCCAGATCAAACACTTAACCTACTAGTTATTATTTGCCTGAAAATCTTCTGCAAGAAAGTAAAACAACTCCGGTATACAAATTAAAAGGAATTTAAGAGACTAAACTCAATTTCTCAGTTAAAGAAAAGCTTAGAAATATTTGCTTTTCTGAGATATTGGCAGACCTAGACTACTGTTCATTATCTTTGTTAAGATGCTATTTTCTCATTTTTGAAAGGGCTAGTATGTTCCAGAGTAGGCCAGTAGATCTATAATCTTTAAACCCAATTGAAAGGGTTAACTGATCCTTGAGGGTTATTAGCAGAATTTAAATTTTTATTCTAGTCATGTGGACTGCAAAGTAGTGGTGGGGTTTTTAAAAATGTAATTAGAGTATTTCAGGGTGGAACTTCTTTCCTTTAAAAAACTATAGATACTAGCTGTGCTTTAGAACTACATGACAAATACTGTTTTCCCTGAAGAAACTAACTAGAACTACGCACAAATATAGACAAATAATTATTCTTACGTATGACTGTAAAGTAGCTGATGTCAACCAAACTCTCAAGTGTTTCTGTACCTTCTTGACGTTGTTTGACAACCTACTGAAATAGTGTGGAGAGGCTGGTGACCTGGTTCACAACACAATCTAAAGGAAGTCAGACATGTGTAGGGCTAGGTACCCAATGACGATATTGCATAGGAAAACACAAGCCATTTTTACTCTTCTTTATCCCAGGCAACTTGAGGTGTTCTTATGATGAAGCATTCAGTTGCACTATGACCTTCTTGAGTGATGTGCAACTTGGTTCCTCTCTCTTTTTGTTTCTTTTTAATACGAATGTGTGATCTTCGGTGTGTTTGCATAAGCTAATTTAAAATGAATTTAAGACGTTTTCTGAAATATTTCTACTGAAATAAATCACTAAAAAGTATACATTGTGTGGGGTTGTTTTGTTACCATATTTGCATTTTTAGCATCAACAAAGAGTAAATCAGCTTCAAACTGATTTTTCTTTTCTTTTCCTTTTCAGAAGTGCTTGACATGGACCATAGGTACAGTGAAAGTTCTGCCTGAGTGAGCTTTAGTTGCTTTTCTAGAGCCTAGAGTGAGAATGTGCTGTGTCTGTGATCAAAGGGATCTTAGGACAGAGGACAAGCATAGAATTGTTCCACCTCCCTCTCTCTCCCTGTAAATATACAATATGAGCAGTCTCCAAAAAGGCCTCCTCTTTGCTAATACTTTAGTCCATAGGTTCTCAGGTGTAACCATTTCTGCAAACTTCTGTGAAGCCTTAAACAGTAGAAGTACAAAAATAAGCTGTGTTGAGTCACTGGCTGGGGTGTTGGTTATGTCCTACCCGTGAATTCCTCATGAACTCAGCCTCGAAGTGGACCTTCCAGGCCAGAACTGAATGCCCTGTATAACATAACTCAGGATTTTTGGGGGGTTTTTTGTTTTGTTTTGTTTTTATTTGTTTTTGTTGTGTTTTTAGTACCGGGGATTGAACTCGGGTCCTTGCACTTGCAAGGCAGGCCACCAAACCGCTGAGCTAAATCCCCCGCCCAACATAACTCAGTTTTCAACAATTTCCTTACCTTGTTAGTGACCTTTCAAAATTCTCTTATTCCTTTACAGGGACCAAAACAGTGACAATTCTCCAGTGCGGTTAGCCTGACTTCACCTCACACAGTGCCA